AACAAGTAGCTCTCCTAATGTGCTGCTTGGTGTGATTTCTGCCTTGTGGAGAGCTGAAGGTGCTGCTGCCTAAGAAACTGGCAACTGTAGCCATGGCTTTAGCTGGAATGGTAGGGTTAGCTGATTTTTCTGAAGAGCAATGCAAAATTTTCCTTCCAGAGTCAAAAGTGTGGGGCTGCAGTATTTCTGTAAAGAGGGCTCTGTTGGTTTACTGGCACAGAGGTTCTGCTGTGCTGCAGGCCAGATCTCAGTACTCCTGTGACTCCTTCACTACTCTGTAGAATGCTGCAAACAGCATTTGTGTCTTCAGAAGTGTTTGCAAAACCAGTGTGTTTGAAATCAAGTCCAGGGGTTTGGTTCAATGCCCACTGGAAGCTGCATTATCAACGTATCTGGCTTCTAACTTATTTTTTTAGCCTGCTGGAAGGGAATGACTGACTCAGATTTGATCCTAATTACAATTTGATACTTCCATTTCCTCTGGTTACATATATAAATAAATAAATACACACACGTGTGCATGTGTGATTTTACCTTCTTGGTATATACCAGAAAGTAAATTCTGGACTTTCTATGGTTTAGTAAATCCTGAGAACTTCGGTCTTTTACTTTAGTGAACCCAAACTCGTGTGCTGTTGCCTTCACTGAATGCGTTCTGTTCTTTCACCATTCTCTGTTGTTTAGCTCACATCTGCAAACTGAAAATGCAGCTTTCATTCTTTTTTGAAAGCTGGTACCTCTTCTGCCACTCCTGCCCTCTTCTTTTGAAGAAGCAGAAGCAGATGAGCACCCTGCCTATTCGTCCCCTGCCTATTTCTTCTCCTTTCCTGTTGGGATTTTTCTGGCCCAGCTGAATAATGTGGGATTTACTAGCTCAGAGCCAACTTGTTTTTCAAGGTTTATATATTTGTGTAGCTTCCAGACACCCTTACACCCACACACTTTCCCTGGCTATAATTTGGATTTATTCCTTCTCTAGGACCTCAACATGGCATGAAAGATTGAATTTTTCCCTAGAGCAACAATTTGCCTGCAACAGACTGGGAGTAATTTGTTGAGGTGGCATGACATCATTTATTCATTTATCATATAGAGCTTCAGGAACATTGATAACTCCTCCTTTGTTGTCTTTTCAGGATTATGACCTGTGCATCACCTGCTATAACACTAAAAACCATGACCACAAGATGGAAAAATTAGGCCTCGGTCTAGACGATGAGAGCAACAACCAGCAGACAGCCACGACACAGAGCCCTGGCGATTCCCGCCGCCTGAGCATCCAGCGCTGTATCCAGTCTCTGGTCCACGCCTGCCAGTGTCGCAACGCCAACTGCTCGCTGCCGTCCTGTCAGAAGATGAAACGGGTTGTCCAACACACCAAAGGCTGCAAACGCAAGACCAATGGAGGGTGCCCCATCTGCAAGCAACTCATTGCCCTCTGCTGCTACCACGCAAAGCACTGCCAGGAGAACAAGTGCCCCGTGCCCTTCTGCCTCAACATCAAACACAAGCTTCGTCAGCAACAGCTCCAGCACCGCCTGCAGCAGGCGCAGATGCTCCGAAGGAGGATGGCGAGCATGCAGCGCACGGGTGTGGCGGGCCAGCAGCAAGGATTGCCCTCACCCACGCCGGCCACGCCGACAACTCCAACAGGGCAGCAGCCCCCAACACCACAAACCCCACAACCTCAGCCTCCACCCCAGCCTGTGTCACAGCCTCAGCCTGCACCTCCCAACAGCATGCCACCCTACACCATGCCAAGAACTCAGCCCCCCAGTGCTGTGTCCCAGGGCAAGGCAGGTGGCCAGGTGACACCTCCAACTCCACCTCAGCCACCACAGCCACCAGTTCAGGGTCCTCCTCCGGCAGCAGTGGAAATGGCCATGCAGATCCAGCGGGCGGCAGAGACCCAGCGCCAGATGGCACAGGTTCAGATCTTCCAAAGGCCGATTCAGCACCAGATGCCCCAGATGCCACCGATGGGAATGAACCCCCCACAGATAGGCAGAGGTCCTGGTGGCCATATAGATCAAGGAATGGGGCCAGGAGGAATTCAGCAGCAGCCACCGTGGGTACAGGGGGCCTTACCCCAAGCTCAGCTGCAGCCAGGAATGCAGAGACCATCCATGATGTCAGTAGCTCAACCGGGTCAGCCGATGAATATGGCCCCTCAGCCAGGAATGGGTCAAGTACCTGGCACTGCTCAGCCCAAACAACCACCTCTGCCCCAGGCGGCCTTACAAAACCTACTGCGGACTCTCAGGTCTCCCAGCTCACCCATGCAGCAGCAGCAGGTGCTTAACATCCTTCACTCCAACCCTCAGCTGCTGGCTGCGTTCATCAAGCAGCGGGCAGCCAAGTACGCGGGGTCCCAGAACCCGCAGGGCATGGCGGGGCAGCCTGGCATCCCGCAGGGGCAGCCGGGGCTCCAGCCGCAGCAGGCCATGCAAGGGCAGCAAGGAGGGGTGCACCCCAACCCTGCCATGCAGAACATGAACCCCATGCAAGCAGGAGTGCAGAGGCCCAGCATGCCCCAGCAGCAGGCGCAGCAGCAGCCACAGCAGGCCATGGCTGGGATGAATCCTCAGGCGCAGCAGATGAATATGAATCACTCGGGAATGGCTCCCCAGTTCCGAGATCTCCTGATGAGACGGCACCAGATGATGGAGCAGCAGCGCCACCAGCAGCAGCAGCAGCAGGGAGCGGGACCGGCGCTGGGGCCAGGGATGGCCAACCACAACCAGTTTCAGCAGCCCCAGGGTGTCGGGTATCCCCAGCAGCAGCAGCAGCGAATGCAGCATCACATGCAGCAGATGCAGCAAGGAAACATGGGACAAATAAGCCAGCTTCCACAGGCCATGAGTGCAGAGACAGGAGCCAGTTTGCAACAGGCTTTCCAGCAAAGGCTGCTTCAGCAGCAGATGGGGTCCCCAGCTCAGCCCAATCCTATGAGCCCCCAACAGCACATGCTCCCCAATCAGGCCCAGTCCCCGCACCTCCAGGGCCAGCAGCTCCCTTCATCGCTCACCAATCAAGTGCGTTCTCCGCAGCCTGTACCCTCACCGCGGCCCCAGTCCCAGCCCCCTCATTCCAGCCCATCCCCTCGGATGCAGCCTCAGCCTTCTCCACACCACGTCTCCCCGCAGACCAGCTCCCCACATCCAGGACTGGTAGCTGCCCAGGCTAACCCCATGGATCAAGGGCACTTTGCCAGCCCGGACCAGAGTGCAATGCTTTCCCAGCTTACTAGCAATCCTGGCATGGCAGGCCTCCATGGTACAAGCGCCACGGAACTGGGGCTCAGCTCCGAGAACTCAGACTTGAATTCAAACCTTTCACAGAGTACACTAGACATACACTAGACACGTTGTAGCATTTTGGGAGCAAAAAAAAAAAAATTAAAAAACAAAGAAAATAAAAAAAACTTATTTTCGCAAGACTTTTTGTACTGAAGACAAATTTTTTTGAATCTTTCTTAGCTAAAACGACATTTTTCCCTGGAACACATCTGAACTCTGCAGCAGTAGTTTATGGTTTTAAAAACAAACCGACAACGAACCTGAGGGACAGTAGAGTACAAAGAATATATTTTTGTTATGGCTGGAATCATAACCAGTCCTTTTTCTTGGCTTTTTTTTTTTCCTCGTGTGCGTTGGGGAGGTCGGGGGAGGAAGGTGTTCTTTTGGTTCTTTACCAAAGGATGCCCTGCTCATGCCTCCAATAGGTTTTATTTTTTTTTAAATTAATGAAAATATGTAATATTGATAGTTATTATTTACTGAGGCAGATGGTAAACATTTTCCCTATTCTGGTTTTTCTTCATGTCACTGCAAAAAAAACCACCACAAAAACAGAACAACAGAAAAACACAGGAGAACCTTTTCCTAAAACCGGAGGACAAAAGGGGTTAATGTTGCTTTAAAAATACATTACATATATAAATATATATATATAAAAATAAATACCAATCTTTTCCTCTTTGGTTGGAAATATGTCAATTCTTTGAAAAATGTAAAAATATTAAATAACTCAGTCCCCTCCTGAAGTCTACTTTTGTCCTCCAAGAATTTTCTATACAAGAGTCTGAGCTTAAAAAAAACTTCAAGTATTAAAGTAATTTGTACATGTAGAGAGAAGACAACATTTTTGGAAATACACAGGGGCAGCTGCCAAATGGATGTAGTATATATATTGTGGTTTCTGTTTTCTTGAAAGAATTTTTTTTGTTATTTTTACATCTAACAAAGGAAAAAAAAAAACATAAAAAAGAGGGTAAGAAACAATTCCAACGGGATTATTTCAACCTGAGAAAAAGTCCCTGGGGTTTCTTCTTTATGCTTGCTTTCTCTCTCCCGTGCCCCTTTCCCATCCTCTTCCACTTTCTGTAAAACTTGAAAATAGAAAGCAAAAAACCCTCAAATGTTGTATATCATGCAATTCAAGTTGGTTACTTATAAATAAGAACTTTCGATCACTGTATAGACTGTTAAAATTGATTTCTTATTACCTATTGTTAAATAAACTGTGTGAGACAGACAGCCTGTTTTTAATGTTTCCCTTCTCTCCCACATGTGTTGCTTGTTCTTAAAATGGTGGGGGTAGCGGAATATGTGCTACTTCAAATGTTTGCTATCTAGACGTCGGAGAGCTATTTAATGTATATGACTGTTTTAAAATGCAAATCTCTAATAAGGGATGTGGAGTAATAATTAGTCTTCTAAATGGACTCTTTTGGTACAACTCTGCATTCGCGTTGTTCCCGGCATGTATCTTACCAAAGAAACGAGGTCTGACCTCGACAGTTGTGCCAGTCAGCTGTGCCCCGCCCTGCTCACACAGCCTGGGAGCAGCTGATCTTCAAAGGACCTATTTTGCATTTTGAAATGAGAACTATTTGTTTGGATATGTGATATTAAAAGATCCTATTTCACTTGGAGTATATTGTGCGCCTTTTGGCACTGAAGTGTGGGCACGAGGTAAGCTTGTGTGGGTGTTCTGCAGGCAGGTGCTGCACCAGGACGGTGCATGGGTGCCCAGTCATCCTGAGTCACATCTGGTGACCTGCTGGTTGCAGGGGCATTCCCGAACAGGCGTGCTGTCACCATGGGCATGTGTGCAGTGACCCCTGTTGTGTGCTGCCCGCAGCTGCACTCACATGCAGTTAATCCGGTCATGTCGTGTGTCGTGCACAGGCTGCTTGCGGTGGATGTGGCTGGTTCATTGAGGGCTTTCCAAAATCCAGCTGTATGGTGTGCATGTGCGCTTACTGCCTAGGGAATAACTCACCACCAGGGCCTTACGCACCTGGAAGACCCAGATGGGACCAAGGATGTGACCAGAGCACGATTGTCGAGCACCAGCTGTTTTGGGAGCATCGGTGTATCTGCAGATGCCAAATAGCTTGAGCAAGCTGACCTCAGGAGACTGCTGGTGGAAGATAACAGAGGGTAAACATGGATTGATGGGAAGCTGAGCCAAGTGCCAAACAAAAGTAATGGTGCATTACAATGTGAATAGATGTTAGAGATTTTCAAAAGTGGGTGTAAAATGCTTGGGTTTTGGATGTAAACACAATTAGGACAATGAATCTTCTATTTAAAAGGGGGTTGGTGGCAAGCCTTTAGCAAGATGGTGAGAAGTTTGTGGCAGGCTTAAGGAAAGCAGCCCTGGGCTTTGGTATTTGCCCTTGGCTAAAACATCATACTGCTCACCCCAGTATTGTGCAGAGCTGGTCTGCACCAAGCCCACAATTACCCTGGTGCAGTGAGAGGGACTGCTCCTGACCTAAAGGAGAGCAGAAAGCAAAAAAAACCCCGTGTGTCGAATGCCAAGACAGCAGCCTGGGATTGTCTGGGACCTTGCAGAGCATGCTACAGATCTTCCAACTTCAAATGCCAACATAGAGACTTGCTTGAAAGATGCCATGATGCATTCTGTGCAACAGCACAGCTGCTCTGTCCCCATTTGTAGGTGCTGACTCTGAGTCAAGTTCAGTTTTTGAGGTGGTGTGGATGATCTATAGTCTTAAATTTGTATAGGGTTTCTTTTCCTGACATCCCCCCACTTCTGCTTTCCCTGGTTCTACTGGAGAACCAGATCTCACCATTTGGGGAACTACTATGGCTTTTTTCAGTAGTAGGAGGATTTCAGAGTGATGACAAGTAAGAGTAGGTTGTTTCACTCCTGTTTATTAGACTCTTGGATCAGCAAAAAGAATCCTCACCCAAAGTTCTAGCAATCCAATCAGTATTGATTGTCCAGTTACAATGATGCTAATGGTTATACTCAAATAATGTGTAGTTCAGTGATGTAAATTTTCTAATGTCTGACCTTCCAATGTCCCAGCTCTCTCAGCCTCTCCCCATCTGACAGAGGCTCCAGTCTTCACATCACCATGCTGCCCATTTGCTGAATTCACTATGCCCATGCCCAAGACAATGTTGGTAGCAATCAATTAATGACCTAGTCATTAATAGCAAAACGAGCTACAGCAGCTCCTGGCAGGCCAAGACAAGCCCAGGCAAAGCCTGGCAGAGCCTCACGTAATGCAGAGCTTGTGGCCTCTTACTGGCAGTGGCAGCACCATGACAAGGCTGAGGTAGATGATGACAGCCATTCCCGCTTCTGTTTCATTTTTCCAGCATTTTTTTCCAGAGTATGATATGCATTTTCTTTGAAAGAAACTCCATCTCCTGTTTCCAAGCTGGTCTTTTTGCTACTTTCAGTTTCAGCCAAACTCAAGGACTCCAGTGCATCATCTCTGGACAGTCTAGAGCAGGTGCTGTAATGAAAGACAGCAGTAGTCAGAAGAGTGCTCCTAAAGAGCAGTTCTGCCTATGTGATGAGGCTTCCTACCCTAAAAATGAGCTTTTATTTGAAGACCAGACACAGGGTGCTGTGTCTGGGCAATGTTTATTTTTACAAACCCTCTCAGCAGCTGCCTTCCTACAGTACAAGGCTGGGGTATCTGCCAGTTTGCCCAAGGAGCCATTTATTCCCTCAGCTTGTCAAAGCAGTGTGCCATAGATCCCAGCCTAGCCTGGCCCCTGAAAGTGTAAAAGCACAACATGCTCTATCCACAGAAATTGTAGCAGCATCTGTGCTTGCATCATGGCTGGAGAGCTACTGAGCTGCTCTGTCAGCCTTGCCAGTGTGGCAGGAGCATCAGCATTTGCCTGCCTGACTGCAATCTGGCATTTTGTTTCAAAATGTTTTGATGGTTTGCTCAAGTTGCCTCAGTTGCACTCCCTTAGAACCTTGGGTCTTGGTTTTAACTCTCCAGCAGGGGATATTGGACACAGAAAGGAAACCTGTTCCATGACTGGTGCTGTGGGTAGCTGATGGGCAATCAGCCATGGCTCTGGTCTAAATCCCTGTTGTAGGGAGTGTGTTGTAGGGAGTGTGTGGAGAAATTACTGTTGGCACCATCTCCCTCAGTCATCTTTAAAGCCCTTCCTAGTTCCTGGTGAAGTTGGCACAGCTCAGACTCTGGTTTTCCCCAGGTGTGCTGGGTGGTGGCAGGCTCTGTCATATCTTGGGAGCACAGAGCTATGTGGGATGCAACCACAAGCACTGGCAGTGGGTATTTTGCTTCTCCTCATGCCTCTGCAGTCCCCAGGGCAATAGCAGGGATTGGAAGGTCATTACCAGAAGAAAGCTCGTTGCCAACCCTGCTCCTTTGGTTGAAACTGCAGAGCTTCTGTTGCCCCGAAAAGCAAGGAGTCTTTTGTTTTGTTTCCTCTTCATGTTTACTTTTCATTATCTGTGTTGTCCCACACCAGTGTGGCACTGAAATGAGCTCCAAGACAATGTTGTGGTGACCAAAGCTTTGGGAGCCATACAGTGGATATCTCACCAGGCCCATGGATGGAAAACCAGGGCAGGCTGAGGTGTGACCTGGGTCTTACCACCACCCAAACTTCCAGGGCTTGTAACCACATTCATGGCCTGAGTTACAGCCATCAGATGTTAGAATTCCAAATTAATGAGTTAAAAAACAAACAAACAAACAACAAAAAAAACCCCTCAGGTGCTCTTCTGTTTGCCTGCTGTTATCTCAGTTGGAGCTTGTATTGAAGGATTTAAAGCATTTTTTTATCAGGTGGGCCCAATTCTCCCATGTCACCACAAACAGTGAGAGAGCCCTTAACTGGGACTCAGGAAAGGATGTGTAAAGGGATTTCCACCTTGGTAAACTGCTTATTTTGTGTCAGGCCTTCTGGATGGTGTAACATCTTCCGCCATTACCTGGATCTACTGATCCAGGCTGCCCTTTCTGCTGGGGAAGGTGACCTGGCAGGACATGGTGGTGCCCCGTGTCTTCCTCAAAAAGCTTGCAGAGGGATCAAGAGGCAGCACATCTCAGCTCTCAAAAGCCAGATTTCTTGGGGGTCTGGGATGGGATAAGCACTTCAAATTGAGATTTACCTCCTAGGCAGTTAACTCTTCCCTCTCCTTGTCAGAATAGCCCTGGAAGTGGGTGTAGTTGCTTTTTGGAGTTTTGGTTTGGTTTAGGGTTTTTTGTTTGGTTTTTTTTTGTTTGAGTTTTTTTTTTAATTTGGACAAAAAATTATTTACTGCTTCATTAGTATTTGTATGTAGAGTTGTGCTGACATATATTGACAGATCTAATGTGGTAGTAAAAGAGCAAGGAAGGGGCTAACTTAGGATTTGTGCCCTTAACTGGGTTGCCTGTTGGGTCTGGGGTTGACTTACTTGTTCACTATACAAACTATTCAATTACTATATCTATTGTACAGTGTAACTTAGTGACAAGTGGCTGTAAATGTGGAAGAACATCAGTGTAACATTAAGGATGATCTGACAAGGGTTTTCTGCGAGATCTGAGAGGTCTAGAAAACAGCAGCCTCTCAGATCTCCTACCTCCAAGTAGGATGTTGCCTGTTCTTACATAGTGCAAGACATGCCTCTCTTAATTTCACAGTTACCTTGGTAAAACTAGTCTGCCAAAGGTTAAGCAGAATATGTTTTCTTCTATTATTCCTTCTGTTTTCTTGTTGGTTTTCCAAGCTCATCTACCCTATTTTCCTTTTTCAAAGACAGTAATGTGAATGTATAGCCAAGGCTTACGTATCTATAAATACTTTTTCTTCAAAATGGTTCCCTTCACAGTCCTCATGACAGAAATTAAACCCTTCAATGTCTTTTGGTTATTCACAGTATCAGCTAGGAGAAGCCTTACAAAAGCCATGTGCCACTTCCCACTGCACACAAGAATTTGGGTGTCCTGTAACTGAATGGCTGCCACTTAGTGCTGGAAGTGAAAAAAGGCCCCTGGAGCACCAGGATTCTCATGAGCTCTTTGAAATAACAGAGTAGAAAACTGAAAAAGGAGGCTCTGGAGAAGCAGCAGATGAATTTATGAAGCCTGGGGACCTGGAACATGAGCTCTGCATCCCAGAGCATGAGTGATAGGACAGTGCCAGTAGACAAGCACAAAGAGCCAGTGAGACAATTCTCCTCAAGGAAGTTGTGGTAATGAGGGACAGAGCAGGTGCTGAAGTACCAAAGCTGCACACCTTGGAGCTGAGTGCCTGAGGAAGCAGCCTGGCCCACTGTCCTGCAGCAATAATCCCTCCCATTACAGCCAGGACTCCTTTGGTCATTGCTCCTGACAGCAGCCCTTTGATGCTGATCTTCCTGCAATTTTTATTGCAATGATGTCAAAACACAGACCAAGCCCAGAACAGCAGTAGGGAAGGAGATGGGAAAAGTGAAGTCTAATCTAAGTGTTGTGTTTTAGTTACCTGAGATTGTCAGTGGTGTTCTCTCCCTAAAGAAAGGAGTTGGCTTTACAGAACTATTATGATTATTGTTACATAACAGAGTTTTTATTATTGAAAAGAATATGAGTATTCCTCATTCAAATTGAATTTGATTAACATTAAAACTAATTTATTTAAATGCTATTATTTATTGAAAAGGCTTATTTAGAACTACAATGAAAATTGAACAGCTGTGGTGTGGGCACTGCCTTTAAGCTTGTTCTGTGTCAACACAGAACTCGTTTCTACTTAAGCTTTCAAGAAGCCTTGAGCCAGCCTGTGTGTGATCTAAGGGAGCAGTGCTGCCTGATCCACTCTGGGAAGGGAGCAGGGGATGCACACCAGTTATAGCTCACAATGTGCTCCATGAAAGATCATTGCAGTAGAAAGACTTAATGAGCCTTTAATTTTGTATTGTGTCTTTTCTGGAAACAGCTTTGCTGCCTGCCATGCTGTGAAATGTCTAGCATTTATAAGGGAATAACAGTCATTATGATTTATTTCATTATTAACTATATTATTTTAAAGGAATTTTCTATTTTTAACATTGCTGGAGGATTGTTTGGAAAACTTGAATGTGGAGGATCCCTGATGCTATGGAAATTTGCTGATCAAGTTGCAGACTGGTTTTGCCAGCTCCCTGCCACTGTCCCTCTGTAATTAGGCTGTGACCACCACCCTGGATTCTCAGTATGTTTCACATGGATAGTGACACTCCTTTGTGTTTAGATCAACAGGCTGTAGCCTCACGTTAGAGCCTTTGGATTGTGTGGAAGAGCAATCCATGTGTAAGGTAAACCTTTGGAATGAACCTTTTCTAAGCTGCTTTACTCCCACCTGAAGTTAAGTCTGTACAGTTGTGCTTCACACGTTATTTGTTCAGCCGCTCACTACAAAGCCTGTACAGACTGGGAATAGACTGGGAATGCACATTACAGCTTTTTTTTTTTTTTTTTTTTTTTTTTTAAACCTCTTACAACGTCAACACAGTGACAGTGGTAACAAAATAAAGGGGGAGGGTGGAAAATAGAACTGCCTCCAGAGACTTACCTTTACATAAGCTTCTTGACAGGCTGACAGAGCTGGGATTGTTCAGCCTGGAGAAGAAAAGGCTCTGGAGGGACCTCACTGCAGCCTTCCTGTACCTGGAGGGGGATTATGAAAAGGAGGAAGATGGACTTTTTATACGGGCATGTAGTGACAGGACAAGGGGCAGTGAGAGAGGGCAGGCTGAGATAAGAAACAGGAAGAAACTCTTTGCTGTGAGGGTGGTGAGGCACTGGCACAGATTGCCCAGAGAAGCTGTGGATGTCCCATCCCTGGGAATGCTCAAGGTCAGGTTGGACAGGGCCCCGAACAACACGCTCTCGTGAAAGGTGACTCCGCCCTCCGCAGGGGTTTCGAACTGGATGATCTTTAAAGTATCGTCCAATCCAAGACATTCTGGGACCGAGTGGGCTAATCCCGAGCTACAAGTAAGAACGGAGCCGGGGAGGCGCCAGCGGGGCCCAGCCTATTCCTGGGCGGGACCGCCGCGAGGCGCCATGGCCGCGGGAAAAGAACTACAGCTCCCGTCGTGCCCCGCAAGCAGCGCGGCGGGAACAAGCTCCCCGCTGATTTGCTGTGCTTTCAGCTGCTCTCGCCAATCAGACGCACAGCTCGGGGGGGACGGTTTCCACGCGCATGAGGCGGGCTGGCGGCGTCCCGGGAGCAATGGAGCGGGACCGGGGAGAGGTGAGCGGAACCGGGGACGGGACGGGATGGGATGGGACGAGGGCTCCGCTGGGGCCCAGGATGGGCTGCTCCTGGAGGCGGCGGTGGGTCCGTCTGATCCCGGCGGGATGGCCGGGATGCGTCCCCCTCAGCTTCCTGAGGAGTCTCCAGATGATGCTGCCCTTGCCTGGTAAGGTGACATGTCCGCAAGTTTCACTCACCTGTTGTGGAAGAGTAGCGGTGCAATGGTGCTCACGTCCTACGAGCTGGTGTAAGGTGCACCCACACAGGGATTAAAAGGCGGTGAAAATATTTCTTTTTTAGAGGAGTTCAGGCCTTTCAGACGTAAGGAATGCTGTCTGAGGGCCTGGATCCGCAGGAGAGCAACTTGTTGTTCAGGGAGCAACTTGGGAACCTTGGGTCTGTTTTGTGTGAAAGCCGGGGAGGGTAAAGCAGGGAGACGGCAGTGAGTGAAGTCTGATCTTTCTGTCCACGTGCCTATAATGATAGTGAGGAGCTAGGGATCAGAGGGAATTTAGCACTGGAAGGTGATGGGCTTGCTGCTGATCTTTTGTTGTTGCCCACTTGGAGGAACAATTGTATCCTCCTGCTTCATGTAGCTGTTTGAATCTGCCTTTCTGTTCCATCACTTCCTGTCCTGATGTTGACTTCTTGCTGCTTCTTCATGAATTACTGACACATTTTCCCAGCTTCATTTGGGCTTATTTGGAGCCTGGCTCAAGATTCTTCTAGTCTGAGACACACTGTTTTTCTTTGCTCTTTCTTCAGTCTGGGCCTCACAGCTCTCCTTCTGTAACAGCAAGGACAAAGAGCTAGTGAAGATGTTTAGCTGTGGAGGCATCTGGTTTTAGGCAAAAACCTATAGCAAATGTTCTGCCATCCTGCTGGTGCAGTTTCTAACCCGAGGTCAGCTGTGGACTGTGAAGTTTCCAGAGGACATGAACCGTCTCCAGGACTGAGTTGGCCCTGCTGACTTCCAGGCTGTGCTGGTCTTGTGAGCTGTGGTGGCGGGAATATGCGGCTTGTGCTCTGTTCTGGAAGTCTCATGGTGTCTGCACTGCTGTGCTGTGCAGCTGTGTTGGGAGGAAAACTGCCTGCAAGGACACAGTCTCATCTGTCTGTCATCAGCATGGCAGTGCTGTGCCCTGTATTTCTGTATGTTCCTCAAGCTGTTTTTTATCCAGCTACAGCCCTGTGGTACTTTCCTCTTGGGAAGCAGCCTGTGGAATGCCAGTAACAGGACCTGTTTGGGGGAAGGCATTCAGAGTCCTGCCTTTGGGGTTGTTATGTGGACTCTTTGCTCACTCTGAGGCCACTCCCTGGCCCAAGAAGGGGCTCCCCTAGCAGCAAAGGCAGGTTTATTGTGCAGTGGAGTCTAAAGTCTCTATTTTAAAGCAAACTGGCTCTTTTTGTAGTTGGTGTCTGCCTTCTGCCACAAAACTTCATCTTTGGAGCGGGTGGAGGAGGAAGGCGATGACGATGAGGATGATGATGAATTGGACATCTTTGGGGGTTATGACAGCCTCACATGCTACAACAGCAGCATGGGCAGTGACAGCAGCTCCTGTCTGGAGGAGTCTAGCGATGATGAGGTGGCAGACCGGGAAGCTGGAGAACTTTCGACCTCTCCAATGCACCAGCCATCCACAGGCCGGCTCACAGAAGACAGTGGCTCCGAACCAGGTACTGCCTGTGCTGCCTGAAACATGTCTGGGGGCTTCACTGCACCTGGGGTGTGTGGCTGCACCTGGGGATGCTTTGGGAGCAGCTTTGGATTCAGACTGCATTTTCTAGGCTATGTGGGGGGATCTGCTCTGTACAATGACTGTTAGCTGGTCTCAGTTCTGTCCTTGTAGTGCATTGACTCTGCTCACACTTTTGACCTTCTTCCAGCTGTGTGCGAAATGTGTGGGATTGTGGGCACCAGGGAGGCTTTCTTCTCCAAGACCAAGCGTTTCTGCAGTGTCTCCTGCTCCAGAAGCTACTCCTCAAATTCCAAAAAGGCCAGCATCCTGGCCAGACTGCAAGTGAGTTAAAACCTTTCCATCTGGCTCTCAGGCTCCATTGTGCTTGCAGGCTGTTGTCATGCTGGGGGACTTCAACCACCTCTATACGTGCAAAAAGTAGCTTGGCAAGCTGTAGGTAATCCAGGAGACTCCTGGAATGCATGGGGGATCATTTCTTAAGCCTGGGAATAGACAGCTGTAGCAGACGGAAGGCAACAGTAGATGTGATGGTCACCAAGGTAAATAAACTAATTGGGGATGTCAGGACTGGAATGGCTCCAGCTGCAGTGGTAATGCATTGGTGGAATTTGCAATCTTGAGGAATATAGGGCAGCTAAGGAGTGAAGTCACACTCCTGAACTGAAGGCAGCCTTCCATCTCTTCAGGGAGATTCTGTAATTCTGTGAGCTTTCCTGCGGATGGAGCAGCATGTGCCTGCATGTAGGGGTAGGTGATTGCTTTCTAGTTAAATATAAGACTAACATTCCCAGTGGCTTCCAGCCTGACATCCCCAGAGAAGGCGTGACAGCTTAAAAGTGGTTCTGCCTAAAAGCTAAAAGGACACTATTTCTTGTTTCTATGAGCATTAATAAATAATGTAGTAACCTGAAAATTGTCCCAAGGAAGGGATACATACCCTGTTGCAAGGGGTGACTTAGTCTCCTGTGCCATTAATGTTTCTAATGTTTTCTTTTGTAGGGGAAACCACCAACAAAGAAAGCTAAAGTTCTGCACAAGGCATCCTGGTCAGCCAAGATTGGGGCCTTCCTCCATTCGCAGGGCACGGGACAGCTGGCGGATGGGACACTGACAGGTCAAGATGGTGAGTGTAGGTGAGGTGTGAGGAGGTGCAGCTGCTGGAGTCACAGAAATGGGGACACCTTGAGGGCTGAGAGTTCTTCAGTCCTCCTCCTCCTCCTTTCTGGTACACTGCCTTGTATGATGTGTGTGGATCGCTCTGACATAGGCTGGCAGAACACAGGGCACATGTTTTTTTCCTCTTCCTGCCCATCCACTTATTGTAGCCTTATCCTCACTCCTCATACAACTTGACCTGGAGCATAAGCTCTGTGGTCCCAGTCCCACGAGGTACTGGCTTCTGCTGGCAGAGGTGACTTAAAGGTGTCCTGCTTCTCCCAGCCATCCACTGCCCCACTGCTCATGGGGAGTTACATTTGCGCCAAGTCACTCACTGATAAACTTGATCATTAAACAGTGACTGCAGCTGAACTAGCAGCAACTTACTGTGTTAGGGAAAAGGGGAGTGCTGGGGCATGGCAGCAGCAGGGACTGATCCCTGAGCAGACTGCTGCTGGAGCAGAGCTGTAGCCTTCACAGGAGTGACTGTGGGATTAATCTCTCAAATTAGTATTTCTGATTTTCCCAGCACCCTCTGGGAAAGCAAGTGCTGCTGATATGACCCTGCAGTGTTGCTGCTGAGAGGCAAAGATGTGAAGTGGTTTAACCCTGAAAGGATGCACTCTCTCTGGAGTGCTTTAGGCCTGGGCTGGACTTGACCCCTTTTATTGCCCTTTCTGCTTCCCCTTTCCAAAAGCAAGTGACAGCAAATCATGATTAATAATATGGGAATATTATTAATCAGAAAATACTGATTAATAATATATTTTGCCTCTTGTGGAGGTTAGTGACCATGCACTCACACAGGGCCTAGTTTCCCACCAGAAAAAATGCAGTGGAATGTATAATCCCTGTGTGCTGTGTCCTAGTGCTTGGAGACTGCAGGCTGTAGTCCAGAGGTAATTGATCTCTGTGCCTGTTCTGTGATCTCATCTGATTTTTCTGTTCTGATGTCTGCTTGTAGCACTCGTCCTGGGCTTTGACTGGGGAAAGTACCTGCAGGAGCACGGCTACAAGGCAGCTCCTGTCAGTTGCTTCAAACACGTGAGTCCTACTTTGCTGTGCATGCAGGGTGCACAGGGCATGTCACATGCATGGGGCCCCCCTGTGCTCCTGTGGCAGGTGGTGAGCAGGGGCCCAGCAGGGCGTTATTGAGATCCAGGTGATGCAAGGAAAGGACTTGGGGTTTCTTGCAGCTGAGAATGGGAGTCTCATAAAGGGTCCAGGAGTTGGGGGGAAGGAAACAGAAGGGGACTTGATAGAAACACTGTCGATAGTGATGCCTAAGATTTTTAGCTTTTTATGTTTTTCATGCATTTTTAGCTTTGTAGATTGCTAAAGCATGGCTGTAGCTTCTAGTATTTTTCTTCCCTACATTTAGGAACAATAAGCTAACCTTATAAACATATTCAGATGTGTTTCAATACACATATTGTAGTCTTATTCCATTAAGAGAACCGGCTACTAGGATGTTCTATTATCCAACCAGAATCTGAACCAGACATAACAAAACTGGGGCAAAAGAAACCTCTGGACTGCTTCCAGTGGGTCAGAATCCTAGGAATTACTACCTTATCAACTAACATTTTAACTGGATGTTATATGGTAAATATACTAATTGATTAACCTTATAAAAATGTAGAATTACTATACCACATGTGATTTTTGCCATATTGTGTACCTGAAAGCTTTCAAGTAAAGGTTTGCTTTTATATTCAATCTAATATTGTTGGGAAGATCTATTTTCCAGGCATCAGTAGCGCTGGCTCAGTGCTGACTGGGAACAAAATTAGTTCTGACTGAGGATGATAGTGGGAAGCTAATTTTGCAGTTTGTATGGCTGAGTACAAGCACAATTTTGCAGTTTGTATGGCCTAGGGTGATGTGCAGAGAGGAATTCTGTTTATGTGAGCCTGGCAGTAGCTGCCCCTCCAGCAT